TTCCTTCTTTCCTTCTTTCCTTCTTTCCTTCTTTCCTTCTTTCCTTCCTTCCTTCCTTCCTTCCTTCCTTCCTTCCTCCCTCCCTCCCTCCCTTCCTTCCTTCCTCCTTTCATTCCTTTCCTCATTTCCTCACTTCTTCCTCTTAAAGTCACCCTTAGATGGTCATGGTAGCACATATTTTGAATCCGAGATTTCTGGAGAAATGGCAGGTATATCTCTGAGTTGGAGGCCTGGTTTATATAGTGCAAACCATAAAACTCAGTAAACACACACACACACACACACACACACACACACACACGTGCGCACAGACACAAGATCCTGAAGTCTTCTATAGTGTTCCTGTTTCCCTTTTCCAGACAGTGAGAGAAGAAAGGATTATTTTCATCATTGACGAGGCCCAGTTTGTGGATGGAACCTCCTGGGCCTTCATAGAAAAGCTCATCCGGTCTATGCCCATCTTCATCATCATGTCCCTGTCTCCTTTCCCTGACGTTCCCTGTGCAGCTGCCAATGCCATCATGAAGAACCGGAACACCACCTACATCACACTTGGTACCATGCAGCCTCAGGAAATTCGGGACAAGGTCTGTGTTGACCTTAGTGTAAGCAGCATCCCCAGAGAGCTCGACTCGTGAGTAAACTCCTTCTATCCTGAGGTCTTGACACCTGCACTTATCCCCCAGATCTGAGCTTAATAAGACAGATCCCTTAGGCTGTGTCATGAGTGTATGTGTGTGTGTGCATGTGTGTGGACATGTGTGGACATGTGTGGACATGTGTGTATTGTATAAATATATTCACATGTATGTTCATCCATATGTTCCTGTGGATACATGTGGAGGTCAGAGGTTAATGTTGGGTATCTTTTTCAATTGTCCTCCACCTGATTTTTGAACAAGGGTCTCTCACCAAACCTGAAGTTCACTGATTCAGTTAGCTTGTCCAGTGAGTCCCAGGAATCCTGTGTCTGCCTCTCCACAGCTGGAATAATGCACACCACCACACTCCACTTTTCTGAGGATACTAGGGATCTGAACTCAAGTTCTTAAGCTTATGTGACAAGCATTTTACCAACTGAGCCATACCCCCAGCCCTGGCTGCCTGTACCTTGAAGTGCTGACTTCAGTGCTTGCGCTGTCCCACCTTTTGAAGGGACCACACATGACACTTAGTAGAGTGAGTGTTGACCGCCTCCTTAGTGTGGATCCCTCTTACAGCTCTTCATGCACTGCTTAACTGACCTGCTGGTCTGGGCCTACCTGGTGTGATGAGCAGTGACCAAGAGCATGGGCATGTGTGTTTGGGAATTGACAGGAAAGAGAGGCTGGTAAGGTGTACAAACCACACCTACTACTCAGCAAGGCCTTACCTGGCTAGCAACAGTGGAGTCTGGTGGTAGGGTTCTCACTGTGAGGCAGATGTTAAAAACTGACTCTTAGGAGTTTGTTGTGAGATTGTGGGTGATTCTTCTGGGATCTTGACAGCAGCTGCGTTAACGAGACAGTGGCTGGTTGTTCACTGGCCACTTGGGTGTCCATCATTCTGGGTTCCATTTTGCTTTGTTTTTCATTTCATTTTGTTTTAATTTGCTTGAAATACAACCTTGTTGTGCAGCCCTGGCCGGCCTGATGTTCACTAAACCAACTGGGTGACTTTAGCTTCATAAAAATCCTCCTGTCTTGGCTTCCTAAGTGCTGGGATTACAGACACTTAACACCAGGTCTTTCTACTTAGGTTACCCTACTCCAGGAAGAAATATGCATGGAACAAGGGCTCATTTAATATAACTTGAACAAAGTATTTCACACATATGCACATATATGCACACACACATACAAACACATGCAAATGGGGGGAGGTGATGTCATATATGATAATAGATATATGTATGTAACAGAAACATTATTTCTACTTTTTGTGATTAGGTTTTTCTTGTTTTGTTATTTTTGCTATTTAGCGTGTGTGTATGTGCATGCATGTATGTGTATAAGGGGTGTGCATATGGATGTGTGATGAATGTGTGTGCTGTATATACACATGCGTACGCAGGCATGTGCATCCATGTGTGTATGGAGGCCAGAGGCAGATGTCAGGTGCCCTGTTCTGTCATTCTCCACTTATTATCTTATGACAGGGTCTCTCACAGACCCTCCAGCTAGGCTAGAAACCAACACCAACCCCTGTCTGTGTGTGTGTGTGACCGCTTCGTGTGTGACCGCTTCAAGCTCTTACATAGGGTCTCGGGATTTGAACTCCAGTCTTCACACAGCTTCATTCCTACCTGCTGAGTTAATCCTTTAGCCCATGTTTTGGGATATTTTTGCAACAAGATCTGATTTCTTTCTTTCTTTCTTTTCTTTCCTTCTTTCTTTCTCTTTTCTCCATTTTTTTTTTTTCTTCAGAGCTGAGGACTGAACCCAGGGCCTTGTGCTTTCTAGGCAAGCGCTCTACCACTGAGCTAAATCCCCAACGCCGAGACAAGATCTTACTATATGGTCCAGCCTGACCCTGAACTTGGGATCTACCTTCCTTATCTCCCCAAGTGCTGGGAATACAAGTGTGTAGGATCATACTCTGTGTTCCCGCCCCCTCTCGCTCTCTCACAGATCCAGGTCCCTTACACACACAAGGACTTCTACTACTGATCAAAGTCCCCAGCCGAACTTCCCATTTGATCTACCAATCCTACGTTTTCTAGGAATCTATCACAGATGTATGACAAAAATCTTAAAAACTGATGCACAGACAAGGTTTGCTTTGAGGCCCTACTTATATAAATAAAACCCTGGGAACAACTCAAATATCAGTCCCTAAGGGGTCAAGCTCAGTAAAGTAGGGTGAATCCATCTGACAGACTGTGATATAGTAACAAAGGGGACTGAGGAAGATCTACTGACATAGACCGTTGACTAGGATGCATTGGGAAATGAAAACAAACAAACAAACAAACAAAAAAGAAGCATAACCTAGCATGCATGGTGCCTTTCACCTAAGACAAAAAGGAAGCCAAGGGCTAGCGAGGGAGCTGAGCAGTTAGGAGTGCTGGCTGCTCTTCCAGGGGACAGGGTTTGATTCCCAGCATCCATAGGGTAAGCTCACAGCTGTCTGCACCTCCAGTTCCAGGAGTTCCAGTTGCCTCTGAGAACACCAGGCATGCAGAGACAGACAGACAGACAGACAGAGCCATGAATGTGGAAAAGAGTTTATCTGGTGAAGAGAAGAGAGAATAACAACAGCCAATAGTTGAACAAGAGAAGCTAGCAGGGTTGGGGGTAAATTTCATGTACGTAACATACATATATGAAAATGTCATAACAAAACTCATGTATGACTAATACATGCTAATCAAACATATACCCACTTAGATTCTACCACATCTCTTACTTTTAAAAATAATAATGTAAGTTTGATGTGTATGGGTGTTTTGCCCTTGCTTGTGTATGTTCTCTCTCTCTCTCTCTCTCTCTCTCTCTCTCTCTCTCTCTCTCTCTGTGTGTGTGTGTGTGTGTGTGTGTGTGTGTGTGTGTGTGTGTGTAACCCTCACGAGTTGGTTCTCTCTTTCCACATGGGGATCAAACTCAGGCCTGCACAGCTAGTGTCTCTAACCACTGAACCATGTTGCCAGTACCTGTTCCCCTCCCCTCTTTTTTTTTTAAAAAGAAATATTGGCAGAACTAACCAAAAGCTAATAAAAATTATTACCTACAGCATGAGGAAAAGAAGCAAGACAAAGGACGTGCCTTATTATGTAGTCTTAATTTTAGAAGCATAGGTGTCTGTTACATCATTTAAGCTGTGAGATATGGGAGGAGCAGGTAGCTCGGTGGCAGAGGATTTGCCCAGCATGCACAGTCCCTGGCACTGAGAACAAAAGGAGGAAAAATCAGTCTCCCAACTTGAAACAAGTTGGAGCACCTGCAGAAGGGAAGACTTCTCAGGAGGCCGAGTCTGTTCTACTGACCATTGGTTCTTCATGTGAGCGCTCTGCCTTGCTTTCTCTACAGGTACCTGGTGGAGGGGAGCTGTGGGATTCCGTATTACTGTGAAGAATTGCTGAAAAACCTCGACCACCACAAGGTTCTCCTTTTTCAACAAGCAGAGACTGAGGAAAAGACAAACATGACCTGGAATAACCTGTTCAGTGAGTACCTTCTCACTATTACTCTCTCACTAAGTCTTTCTGCAGAGAAGTTGGCAAGGATTTGGGGCTAGGCTGCAGGTGGCTTCCTGTATGGCCAGAGGACTTCCAGGAGAGTAAAAAGGCATTAGATCTAAGGCCCTAAATAGTAAGAAAACCCAACTAACCTGGGCTTCCAGGGCTGGGCTAAAGAATGTACACCCTAAAGAACATGGGGAAATGTCAGCGCCCTGATATGGGTCTTTATGAGCCCTTCTTTTGACTTTATTCCAACAACATGCTCCTCCTTGTTAGCTCTTCCTGGTGTTCCTTGGATATCTCTCCCCTTAGTTTTGTGCACCCAAAGGCCTGGGAACATTGCATACTCATGCTGGCTACCTGTTGCGGTAAATCTCCAACCCAAATAGGACCGGTAAATGAAAACACAACTCAATAATTATGAATATATTCTGCAAGCCTAGATTGGGCAGATTCACCACTTCACTACTCTATTCCTCAGCTATGAGACCCTTATAACTTGAGGGCTTTCCAGACCCTGCATTTGTCCTTCTACCTCCTGCTTCCCAGTCGCCCTCCTCCATCGTCCTCCGTCTTCTTATCTTTCTTCTCTCTCTCCTTCGTTCTCTGCTCTCTCCCACCAACCTTTATTTCTCCAACTCCCCTTCTCTGCCCAATCACTGGCTCCAGCCTTTATTTTACAAATTAAGATGGGCAGAAGGTTCACTAGAAATCACCTGTGTAATGACTCACACCTAGTCTGTAGCCCTTCACAGGAAAGAGGAATTAGTATCAAAATACAAGGCCAGGGCTATCCACAACAGTTACCCTCATAGATTATGGTGCATGTAAACTTTTGTCTTAGGGCCTCTAATGGTTTGAAGAAACACCATGACCAAAACGTGACGTGGGGAGAGGAAAGGGTTTATTCAGCTTATATTTTCACATTGCTGTTCATTATGAAAGGAAGTCAGGACAGGAACTAAAGCAGGGCAGGAACCTGATGGCAGGAGCTGATGCAGAAGCCATGGAGGGATGCTGCTTACTGGCTTGCTTCCCTATGGCTTGCTCAGCCTGCTTTCTTATAGAACCCAGGACGACCAGTCCAGGGATGGCACCACTCACCATGGGATGGGTCCTCCCCCACTGATCACTAATTGAGAAAATGCCTGACAATTGAGGCTCCTTCCTCTCTGATGACTCTAGTTTGCATCAAGTTGACATAAAACCAGCCAGTACAGTCCTTAATAAATAAATAATTACATATAATTAGTAAACATTGCTATAAAGTGTCTAGTACTTACTGTGTGTGCTCCCTGATGATCCACTTACTTAGTTGCCATCTTTGAGTGCATGGTTTATCTGTTCAGGAAATGAAGAACATGACTATACTTATTCACCTTTATCTTTGTACTTCACCTACCAAGTATTATATGAATGACTTAAGGGACAAACATTTTGAATATGGGTAAACCACCTTGCTAGGCATGTTTATTCTCAAACCTCATGACTTTAAATCTCCATGGCTTAGCCATGTCCCGATAAGCTCAGTGGGAATATGAATGAGCACATAGCTCTATATTACTTTAGGTAACAGGATAGAGTCTAGGCCTACTGTAAACCTAGTATTCTAAAATTAAAAGTATTATGGAGACACCAATAGTACCTTTTTTTTTCTTTTGGAGAGTGAGAAAGGAACATAAAATAATTTTGAGTTACTTTAGAGGTCTATGTATCAGTTTTATTTAAAATAAGATGTTCTAGAACATTTGGTAAACCAACACGTCTCTGCTTAGTCTTTCTCACCTGAGTTCCTTCTCAAAGTTTTCAGGGAAATAGGACTGTTCAAAGACAGAATAATGATCTTAACTTGCCCTGCCTCTTGCCTCCCCATTAGAGCATTCTGTTAGACCAACAGAAGACATGTATCTTTATACTTCCATATCTGAGGGACGGAAAGAAGTCTGTTACCTTGCGAGTGGTGTCAGACTAAAGAATCTGTCACCTCCAGCATCTCTAAAAGGTAAAGAAAATTGAAGTTGCATTCACTTTCCAGTACCTTTTACTTTTGCCTCTTCTATAAAAAGATGATAACAACGTTCCTTGAGTACTTGTTTTGTGTTCCGCCATGCAGGACACAGGTGACACGGTGGACTTGGATTTTCCCCCTCAGATTAGGAGCCTCATTCCCTCTGTACATAGTCTGAATTGAACAAATGCTTATTGGAATGCATGAAAGAGTGTAGTGTGAAGAATTCGGAGGTGGCTCCGTTGGTAAGGTGCTTGTGCAGGCTTGAGGAAGGACCTGAGGTCAAGCTCTAGAACTCACTTTTAAAAAAAAAAAAAGCCAGGCATGGTAGTAACACATATTTTTAGTCCTAGCACTGAGAGGGTAAAGATAGGATGCTCTCTGAGTCTTTGGTTACTCAGATTAGTTGAATTTGGAGAGTATAAGGTTGTGAAAAAAAAAAACCTGCCTAAGTTACTTTCCTACTGCCATGACAAAAACACCATGGTTAAGGGAATTCATAAAAGAAAACATTTAATCCTGGGCTCATATTTATAGAGGGTTAGAGCCCAATGACCATCGTGGTGGAGAACATGGCAGCAGGCAGGCATGACATGGCATTGGAGCAACAGCCAACAGCTTCTATCCTTATAAGTAGATAGAGAGCTAACTGGGAATGACATGGGCTTTTGAAATCTCAAAGCCTCTCTTCAGTGACACACCTCCTCCAACAAGGCCACACCTCCTCCTCCTCCCCAAACAGTTCCACCAATTGGAGAGTAACTTGAACCTATGAGGGGGCCATTCTCATTCAAACCACCACAGATCCTATCTCAAATAATGATAGCTGGGTGTGGTGGTGCACACCTTTAATGCCAGCACTTGGGAGACAGAGGCCAAGGATCTCTGTGACTTTGAGGTCACTCTGGTCTACATAGTGATTTCTAGGAAAGCCAGGACTACACAGAGAAACTCTGTCTCAAAAAAGGGGTAGGGAGAGGGCTAAAAAGATAACTTAGAGATTAAAAATGATTACTGTACTTCCAGAAGACCCAAGTTCAATGGCATCCACATTGGGTGGTTCACAACTGCCTGCAACTCTAGTTTCAGCAGATCTTACCCTTGTCTGGCTTCTGTGGGCCTCTGTACGTGTGTTGGCAACTACATACACATAAATAAAGCAACAGATCTTTACAAATAAATAAGGTGAAAAATGGTTGAGGAAGACTCTCAGTGTGAACTCTGGCTTCTAAGTGAAAACACATAAACAAGCATGTGTGCATTCATGTGCACACACAAACATGTATACACACATATATACATATACAAAGTGTCATACACTGTCCATTAAGCTGAAACCAATCATAACAAAGAAATATCTAACATCTAACGCTGAGACATTTTCTGACATCAAAGTTCATGAGAAAGGTATGACAAAGAGCAAGCTCATATCTGAGATGTATTGCTCTACTCAAGGACAAGGACTTTAAATGAGTTTTGTAGCCTGCATGCAGTTCCAATATATCATCCAGAAGTAACTTTAAAGGTTTGAGAGAATGGCCCAGGGACACTTGGTGTTTTTATTATGTTTTTTTTTTCCTACTGAGCTCCTAAAGCACAAAGAAATCCTAATTGACTTTCAACTTCTGCCAGCCTGTGTTCCATGGACAAGTAGAGAAATGCAAATTCTGTCTCTAATGGATATAAAATGTCCAGGAAGGGGGCTGGAAAGATGATTCAATGGTTGAGAGTGCTTCCTTCTTTGGTAAAGAAACTGGGTTCCATTTCCAGGACCCACATGGTTACTTACAGCCCCTGTAACTCCAGATCCTGTGGGTCTGATGCTGTCTTCTGGCCTCCAACTCATGCAGTGCACATATACCGACACAGGCTCACACATAAATAAATAAATACATAAATAAATAAATAAATCTTTTTTTAATGCCCAAGAAGGGTCTGGGGATGTAGCAGATGAGACACCCAAACGCGCATGCATGCATACACATGGACACCAAAAACAAAAGTCCAGGTACACATAAAACTCAAGTGGCTGTGCCCTGTGGTGGAGTGGAAGTGGGCCTACATAGTTGAAGAGTTGGGATTGGAGCTCTGGGCTCTCTGACACGTACTAATGCCACAGAGATAGTAATGTGTGTCATGGGACTAAATGAATGTCTTGAACATATAGAAAGTCTTATGCTTCCTACTGAGCAGGTCCAGGGAGAAGAAGAGCCAGTGAAGACACAGAGGCATCCAGAGAAGACTTCAAAGCACAGGAATGGGACACCTGACTACTGTGGCCTCCTGTGACTTGATCCTCACACAACTTTGTCACTCATTAACACTAAACCATACTTCCCTCAGATCTGTCTTATTCATGTCATATATATTAGAACACAGAAACTGCACCTTGACTATCCCCAGCAGGAGGGGTATTTATAAATTGAGTATTAAGGGATTACTTCTTTTGGCTTGGCTTGGGTAGGTTTCCACAAAGAAGAATTGTAGCTCAGGACAGTTGTCTACCAGATAACTAGAATGCATCTATCTGATAATGGTAGATAATTAGTTTCCCATGTATGGCTTTCCATCTGCAGAAATATCTCTGGTCCAGCTGGACAGCATGAGCCTTTCCCATCAGATGCTGGTGAGATGTGCTGCCATCATTGGCCTAACCTTCACCACAGAGCTGTTGTTTGAGATTCTCCCCTGCTGGAACATGAAGATGATGATCAAGGCCCTGGCCACCCTAGTGACATCAAATGTTTTTGATTGCTTCCGGAGTAGCAAAGATCTTCAACTAGCCTTAAAACAGAATGTGACCACATTTGAGGTTCATTATCGGTCTTTGGCCCTGAAGCCCAAAGAAGGGTTAAGTAAGTGGCATGTGGAAAAAAAAAGTCTGCATTTTCCCCTTGGTTAGAGGAATACCTAGATTGAAGGGCTGAGAGGACTGGAGATAGAGTCAAAAGGTGGGGCCCTAGCTTAGCATGCACAATGCCCTGGGTTCAATCCCTGGTAACCACAAAATTTAAAACAAAACATAAACAACCCATCACTAGACAACAACAGGGGGACCGGAGCCATTACAAAGTCCCCTTCAATTACTGGAGGTCAGGCCTCTATCCCCGCCTTCACAAGATTAGAATCACCACAGCCCTTCTATACTTAGAGAACGGAGGAGATGTCAGGGGCAGCCCTGCTTACACACTGAAGGCCTAAAATCAGCCATAGGCCTAAAATCAGCAATAGGCCAGTCATACATGTATACTAACACCAAGTCTTGGGTCTCTGTGGATAAACACTGAAACAGATGGCTATAAGCTAATGTAAACAGGCAGCTTTTGTAGAAATTTACCAGCCTGAGTAGTCATAGACCTTGTAAATAGGTAGCCTGGGCAGATAGTACCAACTTAGATAAGGACAAGTGAGTCATAGGCAGAGTCATAGTGACCTGTCCCCTGAACCTTCACCTAGCCGATACCCTGTTCTGAAAGATATCTGTATTCCCCCTGAACACCCACGCTCCAGTGTCATCCCCTTCCCCACATTCTGCCTTTTTGTGTTTATAACCTCTGTGTGAATAGGTAAAAATTATGATTTGATTTAAAAAATAAATAAATAAAAAGAAAAAAAGAAATTAAGGACTAATGTATATTAGAAAGGAGCACCTGGTTTGTTGTCTGCTATCTGGCTGAAAAAGCCCTTCTTGTTCCTTCTAGCTCACAGTGAAGAGGAGGCGCTTCGAGAAATGGAAGGAGAGGTGATTGAGTGCCACATCCTTCGGTTCTGCAGACCCATAATGCAGAAGACTGCCTATGAACTGTGGCTCAAGGACCAGAAGAAAGTCTTGCACTCGAAATGTGCCCGCTTTTTGGAAGAAAGTGCCCATCGGTGCAGCCACTGCAGAAACACGGACTTCATCCCGTACCACCACTTCATAGTGGACATTCGACTCAACAATTTGGATATGGACGCTGTCAAGAAGATGGTGAAGTCGCATGGATTTAAAGGTAAGGCTTACCTCACTTCTAACAAGTCCCAACTCCTGCTGGGAAATCTTGGAAGACTGAGGTTCTATGGATTGGTTCTGGACCTTAAAGGCTTCAAGTCCCTCAGGGTTTGGGATACAAGCAGTGTCATAAGTTCAATGGTCCAGGGAAGGGCTGGCAAGACACTTGGAGCAGCACAGTCCATCTCACTGTGACTTCCATGCAGGGCTCTGGCATGTTAAGTGCAGCTGAGCTTAAAATGTCTCACGACAAGGGATGGAGTCGAGAGAGAGGTGGTGTCTTAGGGTCTCTATTGCTGTAACAAAACACTATAACTAAAAAGAAAGTTGGGAAGAAAGGGGTTTATTCAGCTTATATTTCCACATTTCTGTTCATCACCAAAGGAAATCAGGACAGGAACTTAAACAGAGCAGGAACCTGGACACAGGAGCTGATGCAGAGGCCATGGAGGGATGCTGCTTACTGGCTTGCTTCCCTATGGCTTGCTCAGCCTGCTTTCTTATAGAACCCAGGACCACCAGTCCAGGGATGGCACCACTCATCATGGGCTGGGCCCTCCCACACTGATCACTAATTGAGAAAATGCCTGACAGCTGGATCTCATGGAGGCATTTCCTCAACTGAGACTCCTTCCTCTCTGATGACTCTAATTTGTGTCAAGTTGATACATAAAACCAGCCAGCACAGATGGCATGTGAGATGTCTTCCATGATATCCCTCAAGCCTTGAAGGAGTCAAAACAGGTGTCCTGTTTAGGGCTGAGCACTCCATAGTCTCTTATTACCAGTACTTTGTCCAGCTTTCAGTGTCTACAGTAAGCATCACCCACTGCAAAGAGGAGCTTCCTTGGCCAAGGCTGAAAGCAACATTAACCTATGGATATAAACAGAAATATTTAGAAGGCATCTTGACACTGTGACATGTTTGTGAAGCAACAATAATAAGTTATCCTCACCTGCATGACCTTCCTAGCCACAAGCTTTGGCTAGGTTTACAGCACTAGGTATACATTCCTCCTATGGAATGGGTCTTAAGTCTAACCAGAAAGTGGTTGATTACCTCACATCCATTCCTCTATTGTACCAGAGGCTCATCTTGTTTGGCAGGTTTGTGCTGTAGTTCACAAGTTTTCCCAGCTGGGTGAGTCTGTTGTGGACTTTTCTCCTTCAGCAGTTGTACAGTACAGTCTTAATTTGGGTTTTACTACTGTGAATAGACACCATGACCAAAGCAACTCTTACACAGGACATTTAATTGGGGCTGGCTTACAGGTTCAGAGGTTCAGTCCATTATCATCACAGCAGGAAGCACAGCAACTTCCAGACGGGCATGGCACTAGAGGAACTGAGAGTTCCACATCTTCATCTAAAGGAAGCCAGGAGCCAACTGTCCTCAGGCAGCTAGGAGGAAGATCTCAAAGCCCACCCCCACAATGGCACACTTCCTCCAACAAGGCCACACCCGCTCCAACAAGGCCACACCTCCTAATATTGCCACTCCCTGGGCCAACCATATTCAAACCACCACTAGCACCTTTAGGTACGGTGAAAGCTAGCCAGCAGGGTGGAGGTTTCCAGCTTGGTTCCAGCTTTGTTATCTGTGTCCTGAAAACCAAGTGTGTGATGTCGTCAGCAATAGGGTCTTATTATCTATTTTTGATGGGTAAGCAAGACCAATGGAAATGCAAATAGCCTGTTTTTTTTTTTTTGTGGGGGGGGGGCGGGTGGCTCTGGGTCATTGCTGACATAAGGAGTTATCCCACACCTGGTACTGGCATTTCTGTTTAACACACTGACTTGTAGAACAACATTTTTTCATTCATATGGGTACTTCCATTCAAACTCTTTTCTTTTGTTAATAATTAGCTTATGGGCTGGAGAGATAGCAAAGTGGTTTAAGAGCACTGGCTGTTCTTCCAGTAGGAACCAGGTTCAATCCCCAGCACCCACATGACAGCTTACAGTTGTCTATAATTCCAGTTCTAGGGGATCCAGCAACCTCACCTGGACATACATACAGGCAAAATACCTATGCACATAAATAAAAATAAATAAATCATTAAAAAATAATCACCTAACAAAATAGTAGGTTTCCATATGGCTTTTTCATATATACATCTTTGGTTTCAGTTAACTTTCTTCCCTCTTCAGTTCCCTTCTGTGTCTCTCAATCCCCGTCCCTCAGTTTTGAGACAGGGTCTCATTATACAGCCCTGCTAGCCTAGCCTGGAACTCACTACTTAGACCAGTGATGCTTCTCAGTGGTGGGATTACAGTCATCTGCAATCATACCCAGCCATGACTCCCATTTTTTTTTTTCAGAGAGAGAGAGAAGGGTGGGGGGGAGGAAGGAAGGAAGAAAAGAGAGAGATCAGGGACTCCAAGGTGACTCAGAAGGCAGAGGTGATTGTCATCAAGCCTGACAACTGAGTTTGATCCCTGGGACCCAGGTGTTAGAAAAAATGACCCACCGCCCACATGTTGTTCTCCGACCTCTTCAGGTGCACTGCGGTGCATACATCCACTCACATAAGTAAATATATATGAACGACGAGGAGCCAGCTTTAAGTCCAGGACCTTAGAGTCAAGTCCTTCAAGGGCTTGGGCTTAGGGAAGATGAGACATCAATGGTATAGATCTCATCTCACCAGAACAAGTAAGGTGTCAGAGAAATGGGCGTGATTGTTGCCAAGTGCTGACTGCTATCAGTTATTAGCTTTGGTATTATGTTATTTTCAAAATAGAAATAGGTTTATTACTGTTACAAAACTAAGTATTTTGTAACAAAACCAAGAATTTTGTACATGCTTGTAATCCCAACACTTGGAAGATGGGGCAGGGGGATCAGGAGTTTGAGGACAACACTGGTTACAAGTGAAAAGCCGTCCTGGGCTACAAGAGACCTTGTCTCTCAGAGAAAACAAACAACAGAACAGTTAGTGTATTTGTGGAATGTTATTGATTAAAATCTGTACCAAGAAACCAAGGCACAGTGAATGCTGCCATCTAATGTGAGGTACTAGATGGGCTGCAGACATTACAAAGGAAGGAGCTGAGGACCGACTGTAGTCCAAGAGGTAGGGTTCTTATGCACTGGACTAAGAGTGCAAGAGCTGGAGAATTTATTCTATAAGGACAAGAGCACAGAATCTTCAGGTTGTCTTTCTCTGAACTAAAAGATTTCTTCTGATGAGTGGAGGCTGAGGCAAGTGGGTGGAGAGTAGAAAGCTAGCCTAGGCTACAGAGCTCAAGGATAGCCTGGGTTCTATAGTAAAACTCTGTGTCAGACGAAACAAAACAAATCTATAAAGTTACACCTATTAGCCATTAACCTTCAAGCCCAAAGAGCTAGGGTTCAGTCCCACATATGCCACTAGCAAATGCTCTGAGATGGGCAGCTTTCCCGTTTGAAGTCTGTCTTCTCCCCCATGAGGTTACCTAACCTACTGAAGTCTCTTTAGATAACATGTCTAATTCAGGACTGTTATCTCCTAAAGTTAGCCTTTGGAGTACTTGATTAGAATATCTGTACTTTCTAGACCATGCGTGTAGAATCAGTAGAGTACTTACCTAGCATGGTACAAAGCTAGGTAAGAATCTTGGCCCTGCACTCCTGCAATCCTAATTCTTGGGAAGTGAAGGCAGGAGATTAGAAATGTAAGATTATCCTTGGCTATGTATTGAGTTCAAGGCCATTCTGGGCAACATGATACCCCATCTCAAACAAAGTAACCTACACATGTGTGCGCACATGTGTACATGTGTTTACATTTCTATTTCTTCACTACACATTAATGTTCCCTCTTTATGATTGTTAAGCTGTGATTTTAATTACTGTGTGTTAAATGGTTCAGGATAAAGTTATCACCTAGAACAAACCAGCATTTCAGTGGGTCAGCACAGTGAAACTGGAATTTATCTTCCTGCTTTTGTAATAATAATCCACTGAAAATTTTGACAAGTGACCCAGCAGACAGCTACAGACTCAGGCTCCTGGTTGGTGTTTTGCTTTCCTTTGGCCATTCAGAGCTAGCTGCTTTCCTGTCTAAGGAAAGAACAGGGCAGAAAGCCATCTCCTTCAGAAGTGTCATTCATCACTTATGATCTGGTTCTACCTGAGAAAAGAACCACATGGCTTTTTCTAAGCTGAGGTGCCCCCCAGGGAGGGTGGGGGGATGAGAAATGTGGCCCCTAACTGGGTAAAGGGAATAAGAGCCTTTGGTGGATGGTGAACGTCTTATTTGCTCAATTATTTTCTAGCTGAAGAAGAGGAGGAGGTCATCTTTTCTAAATCAGAGTTCCCTAAGAAATACAAATTCCCCGAGAATCTCAGGTATGCACACAAGTGGCTGCCGTTGTCATTGTTTTGGGTTTTTGTTTTTTTTATTTTGCTTTGTTTTTTTCCCCCCTGGAATAGAGTTTCTCTGTGTAGCCCTAACTGTCTTAGAACTTGCTCTGTAGACCAGGCTGGCCTCAAACTCATAGAGATCCCCCTGTCTTTGCCTCTCAAGTGCTGGGATTAGAGGCATTCGCCACTACTGCCGGACTTGCATGTGTGAGTTTTTAGACAAGAACAGAAGCAATTGTTGTAAAATCGCCCTTGGGTTCACCCACTCTGGGTCAATCGACCCTTTGAGCTTCTTACATACAGAGGAGAAACTGCAGGGGCTTCATGGTGCATCTGATCTGTGAGAGCACTGGATTTTGTTAGTCTTCAAAGATGATTTTGCATCAAAATCTGTGCCTTGCCTGTAATTTCTTGATCTCCTGCTTATTCATTCCTATATTTAAACAGTGTCACAGAAACAAGGGAAAAGATCTTGCACTTCTTTGACGATGTCATCTCAAAGATGAGGTCGTCTCCGGATGACGTCATCCCTCTGGAATCCTGCCAGTGTGAGGAGCTGCTCCAGATTGTTATCTTGCCTCTGGCCCAACATTTTGTAGCCTTAGAAGAAAAAAACAAAGCCTTGTACTACTTCCTAGAACTTGCATCTGCCTATCTCATCCTAGGAGACAACTATAATGTAAGCTATTGTTCTGTGCCTCCTCCTCCACCCCTAAGACTCAAGCAGCACACAGCCAGATCCAGCTCATGCGTGCTTACGTAATGCGTACATTACGTCCTGTTGATCTCTCCCAGCACCCTCTTCCTTAGACAGTCACACCGCTGAGAAGGAAAATGATCTCAGATTGAGACAAGACAGGTAGAGCAATTTCAAGGTCACTGTACTATTGCTGTGAAGAGACACCATGACCACAGCAACTCCTATAAAGGAAAGCATTCAACTGGGATTTGCTTACAGGTTCATAGGTTTAGTCCATTGTCATTGTGGCAAGAAGCACTATGGTGCACAGGCAGACATGGTACCCAAGGAGGAGCCGAGAATTCTACATCTAGATCCACAGGCAGCAGGAAGAGAGAACCACTAGGCTTGTCTTGAGCTTCTGAAACTCCAAACCCACCCCCAGTTACACACCTCCTCCAGTAAGACCATACCTACTCCAACATGGCCACACCTCCTAACAGTGCCACTCCCTAATGTTCAAGCACTCAAATCTATGAGCCTATTGGAGCCATTTCTATTCAAACCACCACAATCATAATACATCATGCCTGGCATGGTGATATGTGCCTGTAATGTCAGCACTTGGGAGGTAGGTAGAATATCAGGATCTAGTCAAGGTCAGGTTCAGCCACATGGCAAGTTTATGGCCACCTAGGATGTACAAGACCCTGTCTTGAAAAAAAATAATTAATTAATGATTAATTAAAGTTCTACAACCAAGCCAGGCATGGTGGTACACTTGGAAAGCTGAGGCAGGATAATCACAAGCTTGAAGTCAGCCTAAGCTATATACCGAGCTCAAGACCAGCCAAGGCCACAAAGCAAACCTTTAATTAATTAATGATATATTGCCACTTTTGAAATTGTCTACCTGAATGGAAGAGAGGAAAATGGACTTATATGCAAATGCTTTGGATTCGCTCTTAGTATAAGTCCTTCATTTTCATCATAGCCCTTCAGAGTGGTTTATGTCTTGCTGTCCAACAGTACTTTAGAGCACAGACTATCTCTAGGTCTCTTGGCTGACATGAGTTTCATTTCAGTCCTGTAACCCTCAGAGGCTCAAACACTTTTGTCTCCATGCAGTTTGGCTAAACCTTGACATAGACAGGCTAGAGACCACCAGAGCACCTGTTAACACTTCTCTAGAAAACCTGTAAGTCTCCATGCATCATGCCCCTAGAACTGAAGTCATTGCATGCATGTAAGAAGTGATTGCGACATCTATCAGACAGAGGTAGTCATGAAGTTAAGATACACTCTCAGCCTCTGTTTAGTTTGGAGATGCATTACAGTCAATGAAACCATGTTAGGGATGACATGGGACCTGGGTAGCTCCTGCCTCCTTTGCTTTAGGAGTATCTGGGGCAAGAAACCCTCTGTGTTATAACTCACTACCTCTCTGTTTTCTTTGCTGGTTGGTTGCAGGCATACATATATTTGGGTGAGGGGGAAAGGCTACTGAAATCTCTGACAAATGAAGATTCTTGGAGTCAGACCTTTGAATATGCTACCTTTTATAGTCTCAAAGGTGAGGTAAGAAACCACTGAAGGTATAAAGTTGCCATTTTGTGCTGGAGTCCACAGAAGGAGTAGAAGCCATCTTTATAAATTCTAGCTGTTCTTCATCCACTGCCACAGATTCCTGTCCAAGATTCTCAAACCCAAGCTACCGGACTCAATACTTTCTCACTATAACTTGTCAGCAACATGATCCTGCCCACTGACCTAGGCTGACATCTTTATGAGATGTCTTTGTAACTGTGGACAGGAATGAGTAAATATCCCCTTACATGATACTCAGTGCCAAACCTTACTCCTCAGCCTGCCTTAGGAAGGCACCTGATAAACGTTTACTTTGAAGATTACGTCAAAGCACATGAGAACTTTATTCCTGGGCCACAGATCAGCTTTTTAGATAAGTATTCTCCCAAAATTTACTGTTGGAACCCACCAAGTCAAGAATCATTGCTTTTCCCTCTCCTGCCTCATCTCCCTTAGGTCTGTTTTAATATGGGGCAGATGGTACTCGCCAAGAAAATGCTGAGGAAGGCACTGAAGCTTCTCAACAGAATGTTTCCCTGCAATCTAGTCACCCTGACTTTCCAAATGCATGTTGAGAAAAACAGACTCTCCCACTTCATGAATCAACATATCCAGGAGGGCTCGCTGCCAGGGTAAGGGAAGGAGCTAGGGAAAGCTGAGCATCTCGTTCCTGTTCCCAGACAACAAAGATTTCCACACAGCGCAAGTCTGTCCTCACAGCCTGGTGCTCCAGTAGCTCAAAAATTCCTTTTTTGGTCTGATTATTTGTTGGAAGGGGAAGAGGCAGATATAGTAAGGGCTTCACAAGTAGCTTTCGTCAAAGAAGTTCAGATGACAAAACATGAGGTTCCTTCACAACGTGAGCACCAATTCTCTTTCTTACTCTACAGTGATTCTCCTGGGGATCCAGAGCCAGATAGCAGAACTGGTGCCATGTTCCTTAGAGCCTCAGCTGCAAGCCCTCTCCCATGCATTACTAAGATACTAAGTATTATTCTTACTTCAAAGAAAACTAGCAGGCCTTGAGGACATGTGCCAGTGACTAAATTTCTCTTCTCACCTATGAATTTGACAAGGGTTACATTAGGGATGGGTAGTCATTAATTTAAAATGTAGCTATGATTTGGTCTACAAATGAACTATTAAAAAAAATAATGATTAGGGGTCTGGAAAGATACTGTTATGGTGTCAAAAAAACAGGAGCTAACACCGGAATATTGCAAGGTAAAAATCAGACTTACAGTCAGGTCAAACTTACAGTCTCCCTCGGTGAGAGAATGAATCAGCCTAGACCAGAGGCAAGAGGACCCTTGTACAACAAGTGATTACAAAAGTGGAATTTCATAGTTATTTTTATGATCATGGGAAAGGTACATGTTGTGTAGGTTTATGGTCAGACAGTTAACATACCAGGAAACATTTTATGGTCAGTCAATTCTTGGGACAATGGAAACAATTTACAACGTGTAATTCACAAGATTATTGAAGAAGAACAAATAAACAAACAAATAAACAAACAAAAACAAGTCGACCTCTAGCTAAGGATTGGATGAAAGTCATTGTTTAACTAAAAAGAAAACCAGAGTCAGCAGTCCCTTAACAATGTCTCAGCGATTAAGGACGCTTACTGAACAATCTTAAAGATCAGAGCTGGTTTCCCAGCACACACATGATAAACCATACCTCGGGAGCATGGCAATAAGCATGTGCCAGGGGGACAAGACCGGCTGAGAGCTCACATTTTGAACCATAGGAGGAAACAGAAAGAGCAGATTCAATATGGCACCAAAGCCGGCTCCCAGCAACATACTTTCTCCAGTAAGGCCACACCTTCTGAGCCTCCCCAAAAAAGTGCCACTAACAGGGGACCAAGTACTTAGATGGCAGAGCCTGTGAGGGACATTCTCATTCAAGCCACTATATCATGCATCCCCAAAGTGCTTAGAAACCCAGTTCTGAGGGGTCTGATACACTCTTATTCATATGCATAAAGTGTGAGCAACAGTCCTGTTTAAAAAACACACAAAATAAGTAAAAAAAATGACTATTTTGAAAGAAAATAGTAATAGAGTTGGTAGCACGTGTCTGTAATGTCAGCACTTGGGAGACAGAGGCAGAAAGATAGCACACGAGTGTTTGGAAGTAACCTGCTTTGTTTTTACGAAGCACGTTTTCTTACTTGTAAAATGGAGACCATGATAGCTATTTTGTGATGACATAGGGTTTTTTTTTTAACTTACTTTTATGCATATGAATGTTTTTCCTACATCTATGTCTATGAACCATGTGTACGTCTGGTGCCCACTAGGGTGTCAGATCCCCTGCAACTATATTTAAGTTGGTTGTAAGCCATCATGTGGGTGCTGGGAATTGAAATTGGGTCCTCTGCAACAAGTGCTATTAACAGCTGGGCCATCTGTCCATCCCCATAACATAGTTTAGATAAAACATTTGCCTTTGTCAGGCATCATTGATTAAGTGAAGCCAGCTAAAGGTTCATGGGGGACTGTCTTAGTCAGGGTTTCTATTCCTACACAAAACATCATGACCAAGAAGGAAGTTGGGAAGGAAAGGGTTTATTCAGCTTACACTTCCACATTGCTGTTCATCACCAAAGGAAATCAGGACAGGAACTCACACAGGGCAGGAACTTGGAGGCAGGAGCTGATGCAGAGGCCATGGAGGGATGTTACTTACTGGCTTGCTTCCCCTGTCTTGCTTAGCTTACTTTCTTATAGAACCCAAGACCACCATGTGAGGGATGGCACCGCCCATAATGGGCTGGGCCTCCCACCCTTGATCACTAATTGAGAAAATGCCTTACAGCTGGATCTCATGGAGGCATTTCCTCAAGGGAGGCTCCTTTCTCTGTAATAACTCCAGCTAGTGTCAAGTTGACACACAAAACCAGCCCATACAACTGACCCCTTGTCAACATGACACACAAACACATCACTATTAAGCCTCAAACCTTACTTTCTTACTCATCCCCAAGATTTAAATAACTTTAAAAGTCCCACAGTCTTAACAATTTTTTTTTTTTTTTTTTTTTGGTTTTTCAAGACAGGGTTTCTCTGTGTAAGCCTGGCTGTCCTAGAACTCACTCTGTAGATTAGGCTGACCTCGAACTCAGAAATCCACCTGCCTCTGCCTCCCAAGTGCTGGGATTAAAGGCATGCGCCACCACTGCCCGGCTACAAATTCTTACATATTAAAATGTTGATCCCTTTAAAATATCCAGTCACTTTTGAAATTCAAAGTTGTTTAACTGTGGGCTCCACTAAAATACTTCCTTGCTTGAAGAGGGAAAAATATCAGGGCACAGTCACAATCAAAAGCAAAATCAAACTCTAACCGTCCAATGTCTGGGATCAACTCACGATCTTCTGGGCTCCTTCCAGGATTTGGGTCACTTCTCCAGCTCTACCCTTTGTAGCACACAGATTGTCTTCTAGGCTCCAGCTGTCTGTACTCCACATCTACACTTGTTTAAAATGCTCTTCATGAGACTTAACCAGAGAACAAAGTCTATGAAAGGCATTTCTGAGACTTCCTCTATCGATGCAATTTAATCTGAGTCTCTTAGCCTTAGCCTCAGGCACTCTTCAGACAAGGGCAAAATATAGCCATATTTTTCACCAAAATACCACAAAAACAGTCTTTGCACCACATACTGAAATTCTTCTTTTATGAAACCTTTTGGGCCAAGTCAGCACAGTTCAAGTTACTCTCAGCAACAAAGTCTTCCATATTCCTACTACGATAGCCCATTAAGCCCCATTTAAAGCATTCCACTGCTTTCCAAATAGAAAGTCCCCAAAATCCACTTTCTTCCAAGCAAAATCATGGCCAGGCCTATCACAGCAATACCCCAGTCCCTGGAACCAATCTCTGTCTTAGTTAGGGTTTTATTGCTGTGAACAGACACCATGACCAAGGCAACTCTTATAAAGACAAATATTTAATTGGCTGGCTTACAGGTTCAGAGGTTCGGTTCCTTATCATCAAGGCGGGAAGATGGCAGCATCCAGGCAGGCATGGTTCAGGAGGAGCTTGAGAGTTTTACATCTTCATTATAAGGCTGCTAACAGAATACTGGCTTCCAGGCAGCTAGGATGAGGATCTTAAAGCCCACACTCACGGTGACACACCTACTCCAACAAGGCCACACCTACTCCAACAGGGCCACCCCTTCTAATAGTGCCACTCCCTGGGCCAGCTATAACAGGGACCATTCATCACATCTGAATCTGTAGGAAAGGAGGAGATGAGTTAACTTCATTTTTCTCAGAAGGTGAAGTTCAGACAGGCTAAGCAACTAATTCAATGTAACCTACTTAAGTGCTTCCTAAGAGTGGGCATGACTGTCAGCCATGGGTCAGGCCTCCAATCAGATAAGGGCTCTGGGATGAACAACAGGAGGACACAGGCAGCCTGATCACATGAACCTGGTGGTGACGGAACCTTCTATGTCCATCTGCCTTCCCTGTGACAGGAAGAAGCTGGCCCAGCTTTACCTGCAAGCCTCCTGCTTCTCCTTGCTGTGGAAGATCTATAGCTTGAACTTCTTCTTCCACTACAAGTATTATGGTCATCTGGCAGTGATGATGGAGATGAACACCTCGCTGGAGACTCAAAATGATTTCCAGGTAGGACATTTGTGTAGCTCTCCTTTAAACTGCTGGATGTCATTCAGAAAAGCAACAACAACTGTCTTAGCCAAAGCCGAAGGGGATTGAAAAATCAAATGGTTGTAACAGAAGCCTCTCTGACTGATGACTTTGCCAGTAGCTAACAAATGTTTTGGCCCCAGATAACCCCACTGTTAGAATCATTAAAGATTCAAACATCTCTTGCTTTTGCAGGTTGCAATTGATATTTATAGGACTCAAAGTGAGAAAAAAAAAACCTTAAAATTCTCAAAAACAACACTAATAAGTACCTACTAACATAATTAACATTTTCATTAAAAGTTTTACAAGTCCCCAAACAACAGCAAAACACAATGAGAAGTGTGGCATTATATTAAGTTTTTGTAAATATCTTCATTTTTTTTCTTTATCGATTCTGTGTTTGCGTCCCTTATTTTGTTAGAGGAAGATTCATGTTTGTTTGTTTGTTGGAGACAGGCCTCACTTTGTAGCCCAGGCTGGCTCCCATCCTGCAGTAATCCTCCTAGGTCAGGCTCTTGAGTGCTGAAATTATGTATGCCACTAGGCCTACCCTGATAACTAGATGCTTACCTCATTGTCACTGAGGTGGAGTCCCACAGTTGGTGCTTCTCAGTTGTATACTAGGAGAATGGGAGTTGAAGAAGCTAAAAGGATGGGTCTGTTTCCAAAGATAGAATCAAGCCAGGGACAGTTGAAGGTAACAGAAGGACCAGATGAGAACCCAGAGAGTGGCACAGACCCCAGCCATCCTCAGTGTAACCACCAGTGAGCCACACAACCTCTGAGCTTTCTATTTGCCCCATAAGATGTAACAGTCGGATTCTGTTGCTCTTGGTCCACATACAAGATGTCAGAGACTACTGTAGGACTACGGCAGCTGCAGATTTTTTTGTTCAGCCACCATGATGTATAGCCATCTGTTGTGGTAGCATTTTGCATGTTCACACCATCACACCAGGAAAAGGAATTTACTAAGAAGAACTTTAGGGTTTATTAAGTATCCAGGGACTTGCCTTTGACAGAATTGGTAGAACCTCTCCTGTACAGTCACCCCAACATAAAATACTTGGACTATTAGAGAATCTACTACCAGCCTATTATCTTGTCTGCATCTTTCAAAGACAGTTTACACATGTTGTGCATGTATTATGTATGCATGTATATATGAGTGTACGTGTGTGTGTGTGTGTGTGTGTGTGTGTGTGTGTGTGTGTAGAACGATTCTTCAGAGGTAATTCTTTTCTCCTTGCTCTTCTCCAAGTATTTATATTCTGGGACAACTTTCTCATTTTAAAGATTTGCTTAAAGAGTGAGCAACTTCTCTTAAATCTTCAATTATGTTTTAAATTAGTCCTTACTTTATCAAACAAGCTAACCAGACCAGCTTTCCTTTTTTTCTACATTACAAAAGCAGTGCATAAGAAAGGATAATTGTCTCTCAAATATTCCTTTCCACCTTAACATAAGTACCTACCCTGTAGACCTGATTGCACCCATCCTGTCTTGTACTGTGCAGCCATTTCTTCCCATATATAAGCTATTGTTTATATTTTTCATACAGATTAAAATGTGTGTATTTCATTTAAAGACCGTATACAAGACGGGCCATGGAGCTTATCCTGGAAGACCCAGTAAGGTGGCAGACACCTAGTTTTATTTCTGCACCCAAGTCCATGATATTGCTCCAAGTTTAACAAAGTTTCCTGGTAGGCTCTGAGTCTTTCATGCTGGGGTTCTTCCTCAGTCTCCTCCTTTTTCTGTTGCTGCCTTTGTAGATCATCAAGGCTTTTCTGGACTTTTCCCTGTACCACCATCTGGCTGGATACCAGGGTGTGTGGTTCAAATATGAAATCCTGGTCATGGAGCACCTCCTAAACCTCCCCCTGAAAGGGGAGGCCATTGAAATCATGGCGTACGCAGCCGACGCACTGTGCCATATCAAGTTCTTAACGGGTCATCTGGACTTGGCCATTGAGTTAGGTAAGGGCTGGCTAGGCAAGAAAAAGCATAAAGTTACATGTAATACCCCGAAACACAGCATGATTGCTTTCTCCCCAGGCTCCCGGGCCCACAGGATGTGGTCACTTCTTCGGAATCCCAACAAATACCAGATGGTTCTCTGCAGACTGAGTAAACCTCTTTTCTTGAAAAGCAGGTATTTGTCCTAAAGCATTTTCCAAAGTTAGGACTCTACTTTCCTTTCCGTTGCTGTGACGGAGCACTCTGCCCAAAAGTGGGGAGGGAGGGATGGTGGCGTTTATACTTGCAGGTCATAGTCCATCTTTGAGGAAATTTGGGACAAGGAACTCGAGCAGGGACCTGAACAGAAACGGTGGCTTCTTGGTGGTTTGCTCTCTGTTTCCTTTTCCAGTACGTGATTAAGCTAGCTCTTAGAACTAGAGATGGTGCTTCCTCCAGAAGGCTGGGCTTCCCGGCATTAATTAATGATCAAGACAATTCCCCACAGAAATACCCACAGGTCAGTGTGATCTAGGCAATTCCTCAACCAGGAAGCTTTCCTCTCAAATGACTCTAGGCTATTGGGTTGGCAATTACATCTAATTAGAAGAGGAAGCTGCTTGTGAGATTCTGGCTTATTCTCTCCCCCTCTCCCCCATAGCACAGGAAAGGAAGATAACATAACTGATGACTACCATTTTATCAATCAACATCACTACTTTTTTCCTGTTAATTCTCTTACTGGAGTTATTTTGTATTCATGTCTATCTGGTTGCTCTGGCCAGGAGGGCAACCAATTACATTTATTGTGGGAATCAGACCTCCATCTCTGTCAGAGTAAAAGAAAAAAGAAAAGACATTGTGCATGCGCAAACAAACAACAGTGAAGACTTGGCCACATGGGCCAGACACTAGTCCCCATGATATGGAGGGCCCCTGTAAGAGCAGTTCAGGGTGAGGGCCCAGTTGGAGGCTTAGGTTCTAGTTCTGGGCAAGGGGAGATTTGAAGCCTATTCTAAGAGTTGTATTTGGTTCTGAACTACTGTTCATGCCCAAGACTAACTAGGCCAGGACTGAACTCCATCCCTTCCTCTCACTCCTTTTATCACCACTTCTATTCCACAGATACAAGCATTTGGTCCAGGTGCTGGGATGGTTGTGGGACCTTTCTGTAACAGAAGAGCACATCTTCAGCAAGGCATTTTTCTATTTTGTCTGCTTGGACATCATGCTTTACTCTGGTAAGCATGGAATTCATTCTGGCTTGAGGAATTAAAAAAAATCAAGGTGGATCTCCATACTGGAGTGAGGAGGCAGCTCTTAGGGCTTGGGCTTTGGACTTTGACTTTGGACTAGTGTTAAGGGATGGACAGAGATGCAATTGGCAATCAGGAATGCAGAGAACCTAGTGATGTGATTAAAGGAGCTAGTTAGCAATTACCATAATTGTAAGGAAGCAATGAATGCCAGGTGTGTTAGTGCACACCTTTAATCCCAGCACTTGGGAGGTAGAGGTAGGAAGATCTCTATGAGTTCAAGACCATCCTGATCTATAATAGTAAGTTCCAGGACAACCAGCGCTACATAGTAAGACCTTGTTTCAGGGCTGGGGGAGGAGGGAGCAGTAACAAAGAATAATGAAAACTGGAGGAACTTTGTAGGTCTGAGATGTCAGATCAATTTCTGAATGAGTGGTAGTCACTGGCATTGTTTTACAATGTGCCTTTTACTGGAATTATTTAATTTTTACAGGATACACTTAGGAACTTCATATTGATAAGCATGTCCAACACATGAACTACAGGCTATAGCCATGACTCTGGTCTGTCCTTGTTTGGTCTTTGTTGCTATGATAAAACATGATGACCAATAGCAACCTGGAGAGGAAAGGGTGTAATTCACCTTGCAGGCTATAGTCAGGACAGGAACTCAAGCCAGGAACCTGAAAACACTAACTGAAGCAGAGACCATGGAGGGGTGCTGCTTACTGGCTTATTCTTGTGGCTTGCTCAGCCACAATCCAGGACCACCACCCAGGGGTGGCACTGTGTCCAGTGGGCGGGGGTGAGCCCCCCACATCATATCCTGTAGGCCAACATAATGGAAGCATATTGTCAATTGAGGGTCCCTCTTCCTAGATGACACTAGCTTAGATCAAGCTGACAGAAAACTAACCAGCACATGGTCCAACACAAAATTGTAAATTTACCTAAAACTTTGAGATCTTCTTTTGTAGCTTGGTTGCATGATTCTCCAACATGAACATTATCAATGACAATGTGTGTTGCTATGTTAAAGCTTTCACATGCCTACAAGAGCTGGCCTGTTGATAATGAGAGTTAATCGCTGTTGGTGATGTCAACAGAAAAACAGCTCTTGCCGGGCAGTGGTGGCGCATGCCTTTAGTCCCAGCACATGGGAGGCAGAGGCAGGTGGATTTCTGAGTTCGAGGCCAGCCTGGTCTACAGAGTGAGTTCCAGGACAGCCAGGGCTACACAGAGAAACCCTGTCTTGAAAAACAAAAACAAAAACAAAACAAAACAAAACAAAACAAGGAAGGAAGGAGGGAGGGAGGGAGGGAAGGAAGGAAGGAAGGAAGGAAGGAAGGAAGGAAGGAAGGAAGACAGAAAAACAGCTCTCACCTCACAGAGGATAAGGAAGTGTCAATTCTGGAGCCAAACATGAAAGACAGTGGTCCAGGAACACAATTCTACGCCCCCAGCACAGAACCAGCTCCTTGAACTTCTTCATAATAATAGTGTAAAGAAAGTCATAAATCAAGGTGCTTTTCAAATGTATAGGTGGGAACATTAGCGAGAACTTACAGCAAAGTGGACAGATCTCAGCTATAGGTTTCCGATGTTGCCTGCTGACACACTCAGCTTTTAGGTCAGGTTGGTAGAAGCTAGGCGTCTGCTAAGTTCAAATATTCTAAATGGTTTTTAATGTGTCAGTCACAGAGTGTTGGGCCCAACACGGAAGTGAGCAAGGAATGACTGACTAGGGAGCTAAAGACAGTCAAAGATAAATTACATTCAAGCTCTCGACCTGCAACATCCCACATCCCTGAAGTTCCAATCAGCCAATCAGCCTCTGCAGACCACGGCTTATTTTTAAGAATCCTCACTCACAGTGACATGGAAAACAAGCTCTTTCCTGACAACCTTTAAGTAGTATTGAGTAGGTGGCTAGCATGTTAAACCAGAGGAACCAACAAGGGGTTCCTTCTCCACTCATGGTTAACAAAGCAGAGACATACATTTGTTACCAATACAGGAACTGTGGGTGAAAACTGGGGATTCCTGGACTACCAGGACTTCTTGTAGTTGAGCTGGGAAAGGTTGGATTAATCTGATGGCGTTTGGTTTCTTCTACGGAATTGGGTCATGTATCCGTAAGAATCCAAGGTATAGCTAAGATCCTGTAAACACAGGCCAATGTAGCAATGTGATTGTTGCAACCCACAGGACCCTCTGAATATCTAAAGCAACCAGATATTACTATGCAGTGGGAAATTCTGTTGAGAGCTAAAGACCAGAGAGACCCCACTCCATGCTGTCACAAAATCGCTCTGTTCTCTCCTTTTTAGGCTTCATTTACAGAACATTTGAAGAATGTTTGGAATTCATATACCACAATGAAGACAACAGAATACTCAAGTTCCAGAGCGGACTCCTCCTGGGACTTTACTCCTGCATAGCTGTCTGGTAAGAATGTGTCCATATCATTTAGAGTCTAAAGTGAGAAAGTTAGATCCCAAAGAAGAGTTCGGTTACAGTCTTTAAAAGAAAGAACATATATTCATAGTTTACATCTGACACAGCTTGAAGGTGCCAAAGAATATTTATAGAGAAAGCCTCCTGAGGGATCCTTTAGAAACCTTCAGCAGAGGACAGAAAAGTAGTTCTGTCTCAATGCCACAGTAATACCAAGCTTACAGCATAGGTGACCTGATGGCCAGGGGTTTTGCATCTGTGGAATCAGAGAACCTAAGAGAGAAGCTATCCGGTGTGGGGGAAAAGTTGCAACTGTCCTGGACATGTGGAGACTGCTTCCTAGTCCTTATTCCTTAAACAGTAAAGTGTAACAGCGGTTTGCATAGGGTGACATTGCAGATGGTGACATTATCAGTAACCCACGTGATGCAAGAAGACGCATGAAGCATTGTCTGCAAATGCTGCACCATTTTACATTAGAGCTTCGAGCGCCTGCGAATTTGAGTATCTCTTGGATCGGGGCATCCTGGCACTGAGGGGATATGAGGGACAGCTGTACCTATCTCTGTGGAGTGCTGTATTTTGGGCATTGAAGAAACAGTACCCCTTGCCCACATACACCTGCCCCATTCTAAACAGATGGAAAAACATCATTTTGAGGTAACGACCTTGGAGGATCTGAGTTATATAACATCTGCAGGGGCTAACACTAAGCTCTAGCATTAGACCTACCCACCCTGCAGTGGGAAGTTCTCGAAGCCATGGGTTTCCCTATCCAGGCAGGCTTCTTTCTGTCCCATGGTGGAGAAGCTCAATGCCATGTTAGCCATCAGCTTCACTGGTTCTTACGATGAAGGAGGCCTGGGTCCTGAGCTGTGCTTGTCTCGGTCTCTCCCAAATCACCAGCCAACTAAGGCACTCCTTATTGGCGAACCAAGAGGAGCAGAAAAACAGCCCTGACCCTGTGTTCCACTGGAGTCTCTCACACAGAACACTCGGGCCAGAGGAAGAAACACGGCTTTAAGCTTAGGAAGCCAGCAGCTGGGACTGTACCTTCAAGGAATGAGACATACACATAGGACAGCAGGCTTCTCTGTCATCTCCTGGACTGAGCCCCCTATCTTGTTTGCCACCTCACGTTATACACGGCCAGGTTGTCTAACGCGCCTTGGCAAAAGCTCTGTGATGAGATTGAAGGCCACAAATTGGAGCAACTCTGAACTGATGTGAAATGCCTTCTGATTTAAAAAAAAAAAAAAAAACTCAAATGTGGGCATGGTGGTTCACACCCATGAGCCCAGCACCCGGGAGGCACGGGTAGGAGGGTCAGGAGTTAAAGAGTTCAATGCCAGCCCAGGCTACCTGAGACTCTGCCTTAAACACAAAATAAAGTTATGTGGGAGAACTTAACATCCAAAAAAACCTGCCTTTACCAGTTAAGGCTCCATATCAAATTGGTATGGCCACATAAACTAATTTTCAAAGGCTCTGAAGTCTGTTATGTTAATTCCTCATTGTTCTCTGTCCTAGTTGGGATGTTTGTGTAACATTTATGTCCCAGACCAATACTTCTCATACTTAGTGGCCATAAGAATCACCTAGAAGGCTTGTTAGCTCAAATTCCTGGCCCTCACTCCCAGAGCCTGACTGAGTAGGTAATCTGGGTTAGACCTGGAAATCTACATTTAATAAAGAACCCAGCTTTTCCCACGTCCTGAGCTGGCTCGAAGGCCTCTCCTTGCAGTGCCGGTGGCCCGAGTGCAGAGTCCGGATCTGGTGAGGTGCAAGTCATAGCTGGACGAGCTTTTAGAAAGTTTCTTCTACTCTTTGACAGAGTAGTGCTTGAAAGGAGGGCCGTGGAAACTGTGGGGCGCCCAAAGATGGAATTAGGCTTCCAGAAAGTCTCCAAAAAAAGTATAGTAAGCAACAGTGTTGTGGGGTCAGACACAAAAGAAAGGTGTGGGGAGATCCAAGCACTCAGAGTGAAAGCTGAGGATGAAGTTCTCACAGAACATAGAGGCACCAAAGGAATTTTAGATGACAAGGATCATTTCTTATTTAGAGATGGTGGTGCTCTTGGAAAGTCTGTGGACTGAAACCACGGTTGAAACGGTGTCACATGAAGCTGGCCATTCCATTGATGTTCTGAACTCTCTCATCATGTAAATAATTTCAATACTTCCCTTTTATAGTAAGGTGATGGTGCCTAAAATTAAAAAGGACCCACGTGACACAGGCTTGTCTGCAGGCCATGCTGAGAACTGTTGGCCCATCCCTCTTTGCAACTGGGACAGCTTCTTCAAGCCTGAAATGTGTGACCTGTCTCACTTCCTAGAGTCCAAGGAGCATAATGGATAGTGCCCAACACACATGTGTGCTCCTGCTGGCTCTCTGTCCCTCCTGAGTCATAGGATTCCATCCTCTTCTGGATCCTTGTCACCTAACATCCCGATGTTTCATACAGAAGGCAGGTAGAGGTCCAAGATACTGAAAGTTGGCATCCACAGAGGTCTGTCAGGAAACCAGCCCATCCAGAGAGCCATACTGATTTTAAATTGTCTTCTTTGGCTCTGCAGGTATGCCAGACTTCAGGAATGGGACAACTTTTACAAATTTTCCAAAAGAGCCAAAAATTTAGTGACACGAAGAACCCCAACAGTTCTTTACTACGAAGGAATCTCTAGGTACATGGAAGGGCAAGTCCTCCATCTTCAGAAGCAAATAGAAGAACAGGCTGAGAACGCTCAGGACAGTGGGGTGGAGCTACTCAAGGTGAGGTCTGCCCCTGGTTTGCAGCACAATACCTCCTCCAGTGGATTCCTATCTACCCTCCTGGCTAATTTATCTTCTCTGTACAGAATTTGTACATATTTATGCTAAAAGCTTTATTTTTAAGACAACCCTCCTAAAACATCAGAAAAAGGGCTGGAGAAATGGCTTAGCAGGTAACAGTGCTTGCTGCCAAGCCTGGTGGACAGCATTTGATCCACGAGACCTACATAGCGGAAGTAGAAAATCAACCCCTGGAAGTCATTCTTTGACCTCCACACATATGTTATAGTGCATGTGACCCCCCCTACACACACTAAATGTAATAAAACTTTTAATTAAAAAGAAGAAAACACAATTTGTTTGTAACTGCACAATTTAGAGATTGTACTTTTTGCAGCCTATGTGACACCACTGCTCAAGTTTCCTGCATGTGTCCATGAGTTTCCATTTGCTGAGACTTGCTATCAAATAGAACTCTCAATGACTTCCATGGTTACATTGTTTTATACAGTACTTTTTTTTATTTGATATTTTATTTATTTACATTTCAAATGTCATCACCCTTCCCCATTCCCCACACCCATTAATTCCCTATCCCATCCCTCCTCCTCCTTTTTTTGCCTTTATACTATTTAAATTATATGCAAGTATTAAGGTTAGTTCCAGGTTGAGGAACTAGCAATACAATAGATACAAATAGTCCAGGAACAAGGAAGACAATAAACCCAGATAGTCAAAGAACACACACTACAATAAACAGAGTCCTTTGATCACTTCTGTGATCACTATTTCTAAGGGATTATCAAGATGATCAAAGTATCTGAGCCTACTTCCCTGTCCTAGCCCAAGGTCATTTTCATGCCTGAAGCCTATTTCTTTGTTCTAGCTTAAGATTTAGATTTCTGCCTATAATTACTACTTCGTTCTAGCCTAAGATTTAGATTCCTGCCTGAAATTTCTTCTTTGTTCTAGCCTTGGATTTAGATTTTTGCCTGAAATTACTTCTTTGTTCCAGCCCAATGTCAGATTCCTGCCTGCAGTCCATTTCCTTGTCTTTGGCCAATGTCAGATTCCTGCCAGGCAGCCCCAAAAGCTCTCCACATCTCCCCCTTTTTATTGCATAAACAAGACTGAGCCTGTCTTAGGTTGTTCTGACAAGAAAGCCTTCCTTACCCATCATGGAATGTGCATTATCATAGGCAATGCACTCCTGTCTTGGGTTGGTAAGTCTCTGTGCGGAATCTTATCCATCCTTGGCTTACCAGCTTGTTAAATTAATAACTCTGTCCAGGGGTCCATTATCAGTTTCAAGTCATGTACTTTGGCTGCCAGACTATTGGTGTAGTTAGAGACAAGCTTTAACATGATGGGCAGAAATAAAAGTATTCCCAGGACAAGAAGGGCTAGCCTGATCAAGCTATATATGCCATTCCTGAGGATTGACCAAAATGGAAATACGGACCTCAGGCCATGGATAATTTTATCGGCATTATCTGCAGCATCAAAGGTCAACAGAGCAGCATTCTTTAAATTCATAATCTCACTATGTAAAGTTAACACACCCCGAGAGGTATTAGGATTATGCCAAATATCTTACAGGTGTCTTCAAACTTTTTTCTAATTATAATGACAATCATTGTAAATTTGTTTTTGTTTTTGTTTTTGTTTTTTGAGACAGGGTTTCTCTGTATAGCCCTAGCTGTCCTGGAACTCACTCGGTAGACCAGGATGGCCTCGAACTCAGAAATCCACCTGCCTCTGCCTCCCAAGTGCTGGGATTAAAGGTGTGCGCCACCACTGCCCAGCTCATTGTAAAATTTAAAAGTAACACTACTCCAATGATATTTGTCATGACACTTGGGATGGCTCCTAACTCTTGAACCCTGAACCTCCTTCAGATAATTTGAATAGATAGTAGAGCATCATCAGTTGTTCCAGACACCTATATAAATCCTTTTGTATACTCAATACGTTAGTAACATTTTTTTGCTAGATGGTTAACAAAAACAGTTGTCTTAACTCCTTGTGTCAATGCTATTGCAGAAGCAGTGGTGCCAGCAATTAATGGAATTAAAGCTGTTATAACAGCAATAATCAAGCCTGCTACACTCTTCCTTCTGCTTAAGGCCTAGCTCACTTCTTCCAGAGCTTTCAAGCTTTTTTCAGAGAATCAAGGTTTTCTAATACTCAGGGCAGTAAGACAAAAGCTGGATGATAGACCCCCGTAACAGACATGCCAGGTTTCAACATACTAACACAATTGGAAATTATACAGTCAATGCAACTAACAATAAATACTGAAGAAGAGACAAATCCAATTTTACCTTGACAATTAAAAGAGCCTTAAAGCATGCACTAACCCTTTTTCGAAATCCAGATCCTGTCCCAACTTTTTCTCTTGCTATCCTAACATAGTGAGCTACAGCTAACTTCCAAATATGTCTCTGACAATGTTCAGATCCAGCCTTCCAAATGTAGACTGTTATTTCCAATATTGGATTGATTTCTAGACCAATACATGATTGAGTCCTAATAGTTGGTCACCTTTAAGAAAAATACAAGAGACATTATAGTTTCTCTTTTTGATTCTCTATCCCACAAGGTCTAAAAACTTGAGGCAAGGCAGCTTGTCTCATCTGAGATATAGTCAAGCAAAGATGGGTCAGGAACATATGTCCAATACAGCTCTCCAGTCACCCTTGTCAGGGCACTCAGCAAGCTCACAGGTCGGCATCATTCTTTGTCTCAGCAACAGTGTGTCTCACCAATCTTTTAAAAGTTCTATGGGTCTCTTCCACAATACCTTGTCCCTGAGGATTATAGGAAATCCCGGTAATAAATTGTTGACAAAAAGTCTTGACTGCTCGACTACAATTGCCAGACCCATTATCTGTTTATTATTGGATATTTTATTTATTTACCTTTCAATGTTATCCCTTCTCCCATCCTCCCCCAAACCCTTTATCCCATTCCCCCTTCTCCTACTTCTATGAGGGTGTGCCCCCACCATCCACCCATTTCTGCCTCCCTGCTCTTGAATTCCTCAACACTAGGGAATCCAAACTTTCAGGGATCAGGCCCTTCCTCTTCCACTGATTCCTAACAAGGCCATCCTCAACTACCTATACAGGTAGAGTCATGAGTCCCTCCCTTTGTGTTCCCAGGCTGGAGGTTTAGACCATGGGAGTTCTGGTTGAGTATTTTGATATTCCTTCTAAGAAGGACAAAAGCACCCACACTTTGATCTTCTTTCTTCTTCTTGAGCTTCATGTGGTCTATGCATTGTATCTTAGGTATTGTGAGCTTTTGGGCTAATATCCACTTATCAATGAGTGCATACCATGTGTGTTCTTTTGTGATTGTGTTACCTCACTCAGGATGATATTTTCCAGTTCCATCCATTTGCCTAAGAATTTCGTGAACTCATTGTTTTTAACAGCTGAGTAGTACTCAATTGTGTAAATGCACCACATTTTCTGTATCCATTCCTCTGTTGAAGTACATCTGGGTTCTTTCCAGCTTCTGGCCATTATAAATAAGGCTGCTATGAACATAGTGGAGCATATGTCCCTGTTGTACCTTAGAACATCTTTTGGGTATATGTCCAGGAATGGTATAGCTGGGTACTCAGGTAATACTATGTTCAATTTTCTGAGGAACCACCAGACTGCTTTCCATAGTGGTTGTATCAGCTTACAGTCCTACCAACAATGGAGGAGTGTTCCTTTTTCTCCACATCCTCATCAGCATCTGCTGTTACCTGAGTTTTTGATCTTAGCCATTCTGACTGGAGTGAGGTGGAATCTCAGGGTTGTTTTGATTTGCATTTCCCTGATGACTAAGTATGTTGAACACTTCTTTAGGTGCTTCTCAGCCATTCATGTTTCCTCAGTTGAAAATTCTTTGTTTAGCTCTGTACCCCATTTTTAATAGGGTTATTTGGTTGTCTGGAGTCTAATTTCTTGAGTTCTTTGAATACCTTGGATATTAACCCTCTGTCAGATGTAGGATTGGTAAAGATCTTTTCCCAATCTGTTGGTTGCCACTTTGTCCTATTGATGGTGTCCTTTGCTTTACAGAAGCTTTGTAGTTTTATGAGGTCCCATTTGTCAATTCTTGATCTTAGAGCATAAGCCATTGGTGTTCTGTTCAGGAACTTTTCTCCTGTGTCATGTGTTTGAGTTTTTCCCCCATTTTTTCTTCTATTAGTTTCAGTGTATCTGGTTTTATATGGAGGTCCTTGATCCACTTGGACTTGAGCTTTGTATGAGGAGATAAATATGGATCAATTTGCATTCTTCTACATGCTGACCTCTAGTTGAACCAGCTGAGAGTGGGGTGTTGAAGTCTCACACTATTATTGTGTGAGGTACAATGTGTGCTTTGAGCTTTAGTAAGGTTTCTTTTATGAAAGTGGGTGCTCTTGCATTTGGCGCATAGATGTTCAGAATTGAGAGTTCATGTTGGTTGACTTTTCTTTTGGTGAGTATGAAATGTCCTTCCTTATACTTTTTGATAGCTTTAAGTTGAAAGTCAATTTTATTCGATATTAGAATGGCTACTCCAGCTTGTTTCTTAGGACCATTTGCTTGAAAATTTGTTTTCCAGCCTTTTACTCTAAGGTAGTATTTGTCTTTGTCACTGAGGTGGGTTTCCTGTATGCAGCAAAATGCTGGGTCCTGTTTACATATTTAGTCCATTAGTCTATGTCTTTTTATTGGGGAATTGAGTTCATTGATATTAAGAGATATTGAGGAACAGTGATTTTTGCTTCCTGTTATTTTTGTTATTAGCAGTGGCATTGTTTGTATGGCTATCTTCTTTTGGATTTGTTGGAAGAAGATTACTTTCTTGCTCTTTCTAGGGTTTAATTTCCCTCCTTGTATTGGAGCTTTTCCCTCTATTATCCTTTGTAGTGCTGGGTTTGTGGAAAGATATTGTGTAAATTTGGTTTTGTCATGGAATATCTTGGTTTCTCTATCTATGGTAATTGAGAATTTTGCTGGGTATAGTAGCCTGGGCTGGCATTTGTGTTCTCTTAAGGTCTGTATGACATCTGTCCAGAATCTTCTCGCTTTTATAGTATCTGGTGAGAAGTCTAGTGTAATTCTGATAGGTCTGCCTTTATATGTTACTTAGCCTTTTTCCCTTACTGCTTTTAATATTCTTTCTTTGTTTTGTGCATTTGCTGTTTTGATTATTATGTGATGGGAGGTATTTCTTTTCTGGTCTAGTCTATATTGCATTCTGTAGGCTTCTTGTATGTTTTTGGGCATCTAGTTTTTTAGGTTAGCAAAGTTTTCTTCTATAATTTTGTTGAAGATATTTATTGTCCCTTTAAGTTGGGAATCTTCACTCTCTTCTATACCTATTATTCTTAGGCTTGGTCTTCTCATTGTGTCCTGGATTTCCTGGATGTTTTGGGTTATGAAATTTTTGCAGTTTACATTTTCTTTGACAGTTGTGTCAATATTTTCTATGGTATCTTCTGCACCTGAGAGTCTCTCTTCTATCTCTTGTATTCTGTTGGTGATGCTTGTGTCTATGACTCCTAATTCCTTTCCTAGGTCTTCTGTTTCCAGTATAGTCTCCCTTTTTGATTTCTTTATTGTTTCTACTTCCATTTTTATGTCCTGGATGGTTTTGTTCAGTTCCTTCACCTGTTTGGTTGTTTTTTTTTTAATTCTTTAAGGGATTTTTGTGTTTCCTCTTTAAGGGCTTCTACCTGATTACCTGTGTTCTCCTCAATTTCTTTGAGAGTATTATTTATGTCCTTCTTAAAGTCCTCTGTCATCATCATGAGAAGTGATTTGAAATCTGAATCTTGCTTTTCTGGTGATATGGGGAACTCAGGACTTTCTATTGTGGGAGAACTAGGTTCTGATGATGCCAAGTACCCTGGGTTGCTGATGCTTATGTTCTTTCGCTTGCCTTTCGCCATCTGGATCTCCTTTGTGCTACCTGTGCTGTCTCTGACTGGAGCCTGTCTTTCCTATTATCTTGGTTGTGTCAGAACTGTTTAGGGTGGATGTTGCTTCTGGGGTTAGAGCTGAAGCCCAAGATCTGCTCAGTGCTTGGGCAAAGACCAGAAGGAATCAGTGCCCCAGGCCCGGAGTGAATTCCTGGGTCCCAGGGGGTCCCAGTTACTCCCTCTTTGGGGAGAGTGTTGCTGTCTCCTTACCTAAGATACTGCCGGGCTTAGAGCTCCTGGGAGCCCCACATCCTCTGCATTTTGTTGGATTGGTTGCAGAGCTGAAGCCCAAGATCTCTACAGTACTGTTTTTTTTTTAAAGAGACTTTTACATGTGATTCCTTCCCTGTCTATAGAGGTCAAGCTCCTCCAGAAAGACAGCCCTTTGTGTGAGAATGATGCTTAATCCAGTTGTGCTCTCTACCTATAATTCTTTTATTTAAGCTTTTACATTTATTAATTTTGTGGTGTGTGTGTATGAGAGAGAGAGAGAGAGAGAGAGAGAGAGAGAGAGAGAGAGAGAGAGAGAGTTAGATTGTTCATGCTACAAGGTGCCTGTGGAGATCATGGGACACTATCAAACGTCATCTTTATGAGGGCCTTTCACCTGCTGAGCTGTCTCACAGGCCCTCTTTAAGTTTTATCTGAGCTCGAGTGAAGGACACATTCACAACAAAATTCTCCACCCGAGATCTTTGGTATCCACTTTCTTGAAATGATTTTACTCCAGGATCAATTTTAGGACAGACAGTCTTCTCAACTGTGGTTCCCCACATCTCTTCATGTGACTGAGTTCAGATCACATTGACTCCTAAGCTATCACACCTGGAGATACTACAGATCTGTAGGATATGGCAACATCTAAGGTCAAAAGTTGTTGGTGAGTTTCAATATTTTATGAACTGTCTTGTAGTTCCTTCCCACAAACCGAGGAAATATTCCCATGCCCCAAACAAATCCACAGATACAGTATGAGATGTCCCCAGTGATTACTGGGGAAGCTATGGGGATAGGCCTCAGTAATAGGCTAGGATTATGAGCTTACGACACCATGCCAACCTATTATACTATTATAGTAGTAGTAGTGTGTATATATATACATATACATACATACATATATATATACATATATACACACACACACACACACACACACACACACACACACATATATATATATATATATATATATATTTGAGACAAGACTCTCTATGTAATCCTGGTTGTCCTGGAACTTGCTCTGAAGACCAGGCTGACCTGGAATTCACAGAGACCCTCTTGACTCTGTCTCTCAAACACTGGGATTAAAGGCCTGTGCTACCACACCTGGCTTTTACCATGCCTTTTTAAAAATATACATTTATTTATTTATTTGTTTATTTATTTATTTATTTAATGTAGTGAGTACATTGCTCTCTTCAGACACACCAGAAGATGGCATCAGATCCTATTACAGATGACTGTGAGCCAGCATGTGGTTGCTGGGAATTGAACTCAGGACCTCTGGAAGAGCGGTCAGTGCTCTTAATGGCTGAACCACCTCTCCAGCCACTTGCCATACTTTTTTAAATGTTGGTTCTAGGAACTGAACTCACGTTGACAAGCACTTGACCATCAGAACCATCTCTATCTCCAGCCTCAAGTTTTACTTGTTGTTTGTTTTCCCTAGGCCTTAGAGACCCTTGTGGCTCAAAATACCACTGGCCCTGTCTTCTACCCGAGGCTGTACCATCTGATGGCCTACGTCTGCATATTAATGGGAGATGGGCACAGTTGTGACTTCTTCCTGAACACAGCATTAGAGCTTTCTGAGACACAGGGGAATTTGCTTGAGAAATGTTGGTTGAGCATGAGCAAGGTATGTACTCTCAGCCAGCAGGCTACTATGTATGTGGGGTGGGGGATTCTCACTCTTGTAGGCTACTGGGGGGGTGGAGGAGTGCTCACTCTTGCACTTGTCAGTGGGGTTTTAGGAGGTAGCAGAGGTCTTTGTCTTAGTTCACTTGTGCTGCCATCACAAAATACCTCAGCCTGTGTCACTTATAAGTTTAGAGTTCACAGTTTTTCAGGCTGGTGAGTCTAAGACCGTGGTGCTAGAATTCAATATCTGACAAGGATGAGTACCTCTGGCTGTGCCCCCATCATCAGCAGAAGGTGCAGGAGCCAGAGACACAGCCCCACTCTGCCACCTGTTACCTGAGGAATTCCCTTCAGAGACCTCCACTCAAATGAAGCTAGGACTCTTATCTAGCTGAAAAGACTTTGAGGCACAGCCAGATGGTGGTGGCACATGTCTTTAATCCCAGCATTCCAGACGCAGAGGCTTGCAGGTCCCTGAGTTCATAGGCCAGCCTGGTCTACAAACTTAGTTTCAGGACAGCTAGGGTTACATAGAGAAACCCTGTCTCAAAAGAGACAGAGAGAGACTTAAACATAAATTTAAGCACAGGTGTTTATAGTGCTTAGGAAAATGATAACACAACTTCCTGTGAGCTTTTCATACTGTATGGTCTGGTAGCTTCTGAAATTGCATTGTCAAAAGGTGGTTCCTGGAGAAGTATTGGATTGTATGACACCCTCTGTCACCAGGACTAAGCAAGGAAATTAAGAACTTTTCTTTCTTTCTTTCTTTCTTTCTTTCTTTCTTTCTTTCTTTCTTTCTTCCTTTCTTTCTTTCTCCTTCCCTCCCTCCTCCTCCTCCTCCTCCTCCGCCTCCTCCACCACCACCACCCCCCCCTCTTTCTTCTCTCTCTCTCTCTCTCTTTCTCTCTCTCTCTCTCTCTCTCTCTCTCTCTCTCTCTCTCTTTCTTTCTTTCTAACTGCAAATAAAGTTTATGGTCTTCTTCTGAGGTTTCCAGAAAGCTAGGGAAGGAGCAAAGCCATTTCATAGTTACTGGAGGATCTTCGGCATGGATTGTTACTATTTTAGTACTCATATTTAAGATACCTCTATGGGAAAGGAAACTTGTCTTTATGTAGGAAGCTTCACAGCTCATTTGTGATTGAGTGGCCATTCCTAACTTCCACCAGACTCTAGAGCAGTGCTTCTCAACCTTCCTAACACTGTGATTCTTTAATTCAGTTCCTCATGTTATAGTGACCCCACCCATAAAATTATTTTTGTTGCCACTTCATAACTGTAATTTTGCTACTCTTGTGAATCATAATATAAACACCTGTGTTTTCTGATGGTCTTAGGTGACCCTTGTAAAAAGGTCATTCAATCTCTAAAAGGGGCCCCTGTCCACTGGTTGAGAACTGTTGCTCTAGAGTAAGAGCCTCCTTCCTTTCCAGTATTCTCTTAATTTTCCCTGTCTTTCTATTCTCTCTCTGTTTTGCCTGTCCAAAGAATGGAAAGGAGAAAGTTGTTCTGTTGTGCTCGTATGTACTAGGACATGAGTCCCAAAGCCCTCAGAACCTAATCCCCCAAAGCCCTGACTTCCAATACCATCACCTTAGGGGCTGAGTTCCACAGTGTGGATGGTAGAGATGTCCACACACTGCAACCATGGTGGCCATCACCGGCTGTACCAAAACAGGGTCTGTACCCATAATTTGGGTTTATGCGTTTCTTCTTAGCTTTCAGGTTTTTTTTTCAGAGAACCCCCTCATCCGAGCCCCCCGTAGCAAGTCTCCCCATCTCTCTGATCCCCTCCACTCTCCATCTGTTCCATGTGTCCCCACCCTGTGCTGTCTTTCCACACATGACCGCTTCAAAGGTAGCCTGCAGGCTCAGCAGCCACAGGGCGCTGTGAGATGAGAGACCGGGTGTGCAGCTCTGTGTGCTTGTTTGAAGAGGTGTCCAAGTTCTAATTTGGACAAAAATAATTTCTGTCATTTGGTGACTATTATCCCAACACTTGGGAGGTGGAGCCAGGAGGATCAGGATCAGGAGTTCAAGGTCAGCCTCAGCTACACGGAGAATGCAAGGTCAGCTTTGGATGCATGGAACCATCTTATAAAACAAAAGAAAGAAAAGAAGGAAGGAAGGAAGGAAGGAAGGGAGGGAGGGAGGGAGGGAGGGGAAAAAAGAAACTAAGAAAATGAGTAAAGAATTCCTTTTTGTCTGTGGATCCCCCTGTTTTCAAAAGCTCCAAGGAGCCAGAGCCATGTGTGGCAGTAGGAGCCTATAATTGTAGCTCTCCAGACACAGAGGCAGGCAGGAGAATCAGCCTGACTTCAAGGTTAGCCCAGCTAGCACTGCTAGTGAGACCCTATCCCAAAACAAAACAAGCTCAAGGACACGTTATGGTTTCTGGAATCAGGTTAGTCTTCTGCAGGCTGAGAGTACTGACTACGCCCTTGTTCTCTTTACTTCTCTCAGGAATGGTGGTACTCGGCCTCTGAGTTAACAGGAGATCAATGGTTTCAGACAGTCTTGAGTCTTCCATCATGGGATAAAATTGTATCAGGCAACGTAACCCTTCAGGATGTCCAAAAGAACAAGTTCCTGATGAGAGTTAACATTCTGGACAATCCTTTCTAATAATTATGAATGAGAACAAAGATTGCAGTAAGAACCATTGTCTTTCCATGATTTGTTATTGTGCTCTCTGCACAGCCAGGATGCCCAGGTTCCCACAGACCCTTCGGGACCAAACCTAGGAACAGATGCCTGGATTCCTCTCCAGTAAATCAGTAAGCGTCAATACCTGGCTTGCACAGCTGCCTTTACCTTCACTGGCTGTTTGCTTGACCTGTGGGACTTGGCCCATAGAAAATCCAATCATGTCGATATCAGGGGCTGCAGGGGGTTCTGTTGTCCCAGAACAAGGGATTGAGCAGTGACTTACAATTCTAGCAGAAGCAGAGTTCATTAAGTGATAGTTCACTTCCACAGGGGGGGAGCACTAGGCTGGAGCAAGAAAACATTCAGTAGCTCAAAGGGCAGCTGTCACCAAGGATTGGGGCTTTTTCATGTCACCTGTGTGGGCTTTTCCAATATCTCAGTTCCATGCGGCTCTGCATACAACTTCATGTGCTGTGCCTGTCATTAGCATTTTAACCCTACCCAGGGGTGCATGTTAGAACAGCGTAATGAGCACAGGTCGTGTTCTGGCTTCTGCAGTAGGGGCAGGAGAACTGGTTTTAGTTTTAGCAGTCACTATACACCTCTCTTGGGAGGTGTGCCAGCCCTCAGTCTGCTCCCGTCTCCTGCCTCAGTATGGGAAATACTAATATCAAGGTAATGTGAGGTCTTGTATTGCAGCTGAGTGTTTTCTAGTTAATGTGTTAGTCTGAAAATGTTTAAATATTTTTTACTCTCTCTCTCTCTCTTTCTCTCTCTGTCTGTCTCTCTCTCTCTCTCTCTCACACACACACACACACACACACACACACACACACACATACGCATGCATGCACACAGTGTGTACACACACATTTCCATGTCAGGGAGGTCAGAGGAGACGTCTGTGGTTCTGTCCTTCCACCTTTCCGTGGGTGTCAGTGATCAACCTCGGTGTGCGCAATGGCCTGGAGGTAGCACAATATTGCAAATGTCAAATCTCTGTTACAGTCTGAAGCAGCAAGATGAGGAAGAATACAGTTTGCTGTGCCAGCTTCCAGAGCCATGGTGGTGCCCCACGGGCACTTCCCATCTGTAGAAATAACTGCTTTAAGTAGAAATAGTAATTTGATGTGGTCACATGCTCTAAGTTTGTAAGCATGTAAGAAACATTTAGTATGTAATAGTATTCATCTTTGCTTCTCAGACACAAAGGCAAGGCTGTGTATCTTTTCTCTTGATGATATAATTAGGTTTCACAGAGGGGCTGAGACAGGCCCCTGTGTGTCACAAGGTTAGCCACAGAGCCTGGCAAACTGCCACGCTGGAAAGAGAGCCAGGCTAGGGCAGGAGACCGAGAGACTCGTGACACAAGAGCACAGCATTCTGCTTTGCTGTAATCTCTACATTTCGACGGACAGTAGGATCAAACAAATTAAAGAAGACTTCTCGAAAGGAAGATGAGATGGCTTAGTTTGGAGCTAAATACAGGTGAGCATGACCTGGGGACACAGACTTGGGTTTCAATGTCGTACTGGGTTCACAAAGTTTTCTAGGAACTGAACCAAAGAAAGTTGTGAATCAAGGCACTTTTCAAACGGTAAAAATGCAGGTTACTGCCAACCAGGGAAATCTCGCCAATGAGCCTCAGATGCTTTCAGACAATTTTTGTTTGTTTGTTTGTTTTTGTTTTATTTTCTTTTGTTTTTTTTTTTCGAGATAGGATTTCTCTGTGTAGCCTCGGCTGTCCTGGAACTCACTCTGTACACCAAGCTGGCCTCAAACTCAGAGATCGGCCTGCCTCTGCCTCCAGAGCGCTGGCATCAATGGTGTGCGCCACTCCTACCCAGACAGTCTGTATTATTAACTATTTTGTTGGTGGAACATATTAAAGATTTTACCTGGCAATAACAAGGATTTTAGGTCACATGCAAAGCAGGGGAAAGGAACAGGTCTTAAGGGAGCTAAAGATAGCTGAAGATAAATTATAATTAGGTTATTGACCAGCAACTCCTTTCCACAAGCACTGAAGATCTAGTCAGCCCATCAGCTTTCTAGAGGGCTCCCAGACGTGTGGTTCTTTCTAAGAACTTGGATTTATACTTCCCCTTGTTGACTAAGTCTCTTGCTTCATGAGTGCAGGAACCAAATACTATCTTTCCAGCATTGCTAGCAAGGCTCAGTTCTAGGATCTGATACAAACAGGGCTCAGTAGCTGACAGGAGAGCAGTCTTCAGGAGAGATGAACTTCAGGCAAAGCTTGAAGCAGGCTTCAGATAAACCCATTAAAGATAAACTCCTAAATCATCCCTCAAATGTACTAGTCATTACCTCCAATGCTTTTTTATCATCTGCACGTCACATAAATGTGACATCATTACATTACATAAATGTAATGCACCAAAAATTAAAATAATAACACTGACTGGCTTAATTAAGTAAAGGTTAGTGTCTTAGTTAGGATTTTACTGATGTGAACAGAGACTGTGACCAAGGCAACTCTCATAGGACAACATTTAATTGGGGCTGGCTTACAGGTTCAGAGGTTCAGTCCAGTATCATCAAGGTGGGAGCATGGTAGCATCTAGGCAGACATGGTGCAGAAGGAGCTGAGAGTTCTACATCTTCATCTGAAGGCTGCTAGTGGAAGACTGACTTCCAGGCAGCTAGGATGAGGTCTTAAAGCCCACACTCACAGTGACACACCTACTCCAACAAGGCCACATCTACTCCAGCAGGGCCACACTTTCTAATAGTGCCACTCCCTGAACGGAGCATATATAAACCATCACAGTAGCATAAAAGGAAACAGGCATTTTAAACACTAAAATTTACATATTAAAATAGATTAATTATGCATTTCCACTGCTTTTACAGATATTTGTACTCTATGAACTATTCTATTTAAAATTGAAGTACTGGGGGCTGGAGAGATGGCTCAGTGGTTATGAGCACTGGCTGCTTTTCCAGAGGACCTGAATTTGATTGCCAGAACCCACACAGCAGCTCACAGCTGTCTGGCACTCCAGTTCCAAGGGATCTAATGTCCTCTTCTGGTCTCCAATGGCATCAGGCAAGCATGTGATGCACAGACATACATGTAGGCAAAACAGTCATACATATCAAAAATAAATAAATTTTTAAAAACAAAAACACAAAAACAAAAGCAAACAATCAGGAGGTCACACTGGTGGCACATGCCTTTAATCCTAGATCTCAGGAGGCAGAGGCAGGCAGGTCTATGAGACCAGCCTGACCTATATAGTGAGTTCCAGGACAGCTAGGGCTATGTAGAAAGAGACCCTGTCTCAAAAAACCCAAAATTAATAAGTAAATAAAAATAAAACTAGAGTCTTTAAACAAATCTATGATCTTTGAGTTTAGTAGAGTACATGAGTACATGAAAAGTCACAATACAGAAGAAATTAGGTAACAACATAGAATTCCTTTACATTTTTGACAAGACTGTCTTTTTTCATGTGAAAAAAATATTTAAAACTATAGGATCAAAATATCAGACCTGCTAGAAATTCTGATTTTATGGGCTTTGTCTACATAACCTTGTCTTATTTCTTCGTTTTGTTGCTGTTGTGCTGTCATTTTAAGACAGAATCTCACTGAGTCTCCCTGGCTGTCCTGGAATCCATTAGGTAGACCAGGCTGGCCTCAAACTCAGAGATCTGCCTGCTTCTTCTGCCTCCTGAGTGTTAGGATTAACAGTATATGCCACTACATCTGACTTTCTTCTTATTCTAATGATTAGAAATAAAAGTAGCACTCTAATAACTGTAATGTTGTCCATTTCTTTTTCAGCAGTAAAAATACTGATACTGTTTAATTTTGAAATATTTATTTTACTATTTTTAATTAAGTGGGTGGTGGGTGCACATGATGGGTGGGTGGTAGATGCCTGAGGGGCCTTGAAGACCTGGAACTGGCCAAATTCAGGTCTCCAGCAAGAGCACTCCACTCTCATCACAGCTGGGCCGTCCTCTCTCCAGCCCATTGTTCAGTTAATTTTTTGAGTGCAGCTAATTGTTCTATAGAGTATCTCAACTATTCTATTAATCATGAAGCATCACCTCTTACATCATAGACATCAAAAGTTTAGTTTCTTTTATATAACTTGGATAAAAAGAGTTAATGCAAATCTTTGGAAACCTCCAGACAGTGCAAATGGAATCAGACGTCTGAGCATGTCACAGGGCCTTTGAAAATGTTCGGTGTACTGTGCTCTAACGTTTTTAATATTAATAGGAACAATAATTAACTATGACTGACCCAAATAATTTTTTCCCTCCTAAGGAAAACGTTTTTGTTTGGGAAATAAGAATTTGGTTTTAGGGCTGGAAAGATGGCTCAGAGGATAAAAGCACTGGCTGCCCTTCTAAAGGTTGTGAGTTTAATTCCCAGCAACCACATGGTGGCTTACAACCATCTATCATGAGATCTGGTGCCCTCTTCTGGCCTTCAGTCATACATGCAGGAGACTGCTGTGTACCTAATAAAAAGAAGTAAATAAATCTTAAAAACAAAAAAAAATTTGGTTATAAAATATGGGTAATCTAAAAATGCATTTTGTCTTGGAAGATTAAATAAGCTTTTGAGAACGTAAAAGCTATATTTTAAAGAATGTGTATTATACTGATTAATGAGAAATTTCTTTTGTAAAGACTATGAAAACATGAAAGCTAGATTCAGATAAGGTGGAGCTCTGGAAAAGACGGAGCTGAGACGCTCTGAGACCAAGCTGTTCCGATGACGTCACAAGAAGCAAACACGGCATCACTACAGTTTCTTATATTTTCCACTCTTCACGGATAATGGGGTTTTAAGCTTTCTGTATAAGTATGCACTGTATGTTGAACATAGTCCCCCTTTAACCCTCCTCTTCCTTTCTGTTCCCATAATCCCCTCTGTCCTTCTAGACCATATTTACCCCTACTGCCTACTGTCAATTTTATATATTTATATATGCAGATACAAAAACACTTGAGGACCATTCCTCACTGAGGTCAGCTGGCCAGTCAGTGCAAATCATCCCTGCTCACCCGCCTCTCCTCTCTCTCTGTCTCTTTCTCTGTCTCTCTCTGTCTCTCTCTCTCTCTCTCTCTCTCTCTCTCTCTCTCTCTCTCTCTCT